TTGAGCCATTTACTCTTGTCCTCGACATAGCTGCTCTCAGTGAAGTTTGTCTCCATGAGGAAGGCAGCCTTAGAGAACATGGTGCTGGTTACACACCATGCCGGTTTACCGGTCAGGTACAAGCCAGGATGCCAGTGGCCTTCTTGCCCACCTGGATACACTGTTGGCTCACGTTCAGCCGGCTGTTGATCAGCACACCCAGCTCCAGACACCCCAAACCTGTAGCACTGCATGGGGTTGTTGGACAAAAATATAATATGAGCCGAAAACTGTTATTGATTGAACATTTATTCTTAAGAAGCACCATCATTTATTTTAAACACTTGACTGCCAAATAGGAAGATAAAGTACATTTAAATTATAAAGTATCTATGAGATAAAGTAAGAAATAAAACTAGTCAGAATAGGGAATATTATTGGCTTGGTTCCCCTTCTACTTATCTGTGAAAGGATTAAAATCTACTTAATTCTCTCTAAATGTATGGTACATGGTAGCAGAATGAACTGTCCAAAACCTTCTGATAAAAGAATCCTTCTATTTTCTTGATACTTCATGATCAACTCATTCTTATTTTCCACCTTAAATCCAAGTCTTGACAGCAGTATTAATATTTCCAAAATTATAATAATTTCCATTAATTTTAAATGAAAATACCTCTATATCTAAACTGTATTCTCAAATCAGTTTTTTTCGTTGACTTAGCATTCTCTGAAATGTATATTGGACATTAAGTAGCAGATATAACCAAATTAGGACTCAAGATACAGTGGAATTTAGGAAATATAATGTCATTTTATTACCAGTGTTAATACATCATAAATAGATCGGACTAATTGTAATAAACTGGACTTTTTCCAAGTAAGCTCCACTGAGCTGGGAGAAGTTTCAGACCATATAAAAATTAGAAATTATGAGATAATTCAATACTTGTGTTGTATTTCATTCACCCTAATTTTACCCTACACACTTTAGGAGAGACTGAAAAAAAGACCAGCATATCCATGGCTAAGAAAGCATGTTTGTGAAGACCCTGTCAATGACCAGTTTAGAGATCCAACAACTTCCTAAAATTTTTGTATGGGTAATAATATAAAACAGGCTTAACCCTGCAATGCCTCAAGTATTTCAACAAACATCTTGCAGCTGATGCAAATCCATTGACACCTTCCTTGGGAGAGGCCCAGAAAATTAAAAGACCCTGAAGCGATTTTACATCAAGAATATATTTCTTACTGAATTTTTTAAATATGTAATATACTTTTCTAATTAAGCAGCAGCCATTGCTAATAAAGAAAATCAAAATGGTAGTCAGACATATGAGTGAAACAGCTACAATGACTTTCATTAATAATCCTAGTACACAACTATACTAGTTTACATCTAAAATGGAACTCTCAGGCACTTCTCTGAGGCAAACCTTGGCAATGGGTTGGTTTTAGCAGCCAATGCCATAAATTAGATTAATCTGATGCAAAATGTCCCAAAATTATCCCAAATTATTCAAGATATCCCAGATTTTGATGCCAATCCAGTCTTTGTATTATATCCAAATTTAATAAAGTGTTTAAATTTTTGTAGTCAAAATATTCCATCATAATGACTTTTGGCATGACTATTCTGGTGAACTATGAGAACTGCATAAAGCAGTCTGACAGTAATATGCATGTTTATTTGCAAACATTAGAAAGTGTGACATTTCTTTTATTCACACCCGTAATTATTTCTTTTGGATAAAGGAAGCAATAAAATGTTCCCCTGTAAGCAGAAAAGGAAGATACTATCACTATCTAATTTTCACTGTGTTTCAACTTGTATTACACAACTCTCACTACTTTTAAGTCTACTTGTTTCATTTAGTATGAAATTGTAGAGGTAGTACATTCTTTGAAGACAGCTTATCTTCAGTAGCTGAAGATAAGCATTTCTTTTACTGAATTGGAAAGACAAAAATTTTTTCCATCATAGGACTACATCAAAAGAGCTCCAAACATTTAAGATTACATTAAGTAGTAGGAATTAGCATTTTCTTTCAAAAAAATTACAACATATTTTTTATTATTATTATCCATGATGTCTGTTCATAATACTTAACATATGCACAACAAAGAAAATTCCACGCTCTGCACATCCACTGTTAGAATATGCAGTATCTCCTACATTTTCATCTTGCCTTCGCCAACTTCCCAGATACCGTTGTTCAAAACTTACTTATCTCACTGAAAACCAGTTCCTAAAGGAGTAAATGTTTCAAAGGTCTAAAAAGTTGCTGAATAAGTTACAGTAATTTCCCATCAAAGTTATTTAAAGTCTTACTATGCTGTATTACTTTGCGGTTAATTAAATTAAATGCTAACTTTATACAAGTAATACATATTTCGAGAATGACTCTATCAAAGCCAATTGTCAACAATATATATGTAACTGTCAATAAAGAAAAAAACATTTGAAGTTTTTATATATACAACAAATATATCTTTTTAATTAACTGAAGCACATGTGAAAATGCTTGAGATGACAGTAAGATGCAATTCCAAATCTTTCTGACATCTGTGTCACTAAGCTTTTAAATGTTAGAATCATAGAATCGCAGAATTGTTTAGGTTGGAAAAGATCTTTTAGACCATCAAGTCTGACTATTGAACCAGCACTGCCAAGTCCAATACTAAACCATGTCCCTAACTGTCATGTCTACATGGTTTTTAAATCTCTCCAGGAATGGTGACTCAACCACTTCCGTGGGCAGCCTGTTCTAATGCTTTACAACTCTTCCTGTGAATATTTTCTTTTCCTAATATCCAACCTAAACCTTCCCTGGTGCAACTTGAGGCTGTTTCCTCTTGTCCTACTGCTTGTTAGCTGGGGGAAGAGACTGACCTCCGCCTCACTACAGTCTCCTTTCAGGAAGTTGTAGAGAGCCACAAGGTCTTCTCTCAGCCTCATTTTCTCCTGGCTAAAGAGCTTCAGCTCCCTCAGCTGTTTCACATAAGACTCATACAATTAGCCTTGGCCCATCAATCCACTCTGTTCAGATCCCCCTGCAGAGTCCTCCTACCCTTGAGCTGATAAACACTCTCTCCCAACTTGGTGTCATCTGCAGAATGTCATCTTAAAACAATGTCCAAAACCGTTTCCAGTCTTCTAAAGTGAATAGAATTATTAACTATTAATTGCTCAGTAATTAACCTGAATCACAAAAATGGTATGCATTCCTTCTTTTTCAGTAGTAAAAATCAGTGTGGGCTATTGCCTGAGCTATCCTGAAAGAGTGTATTTTCTCTGCAAAGGAAAGAAGATAGCTCTTTCTTCCTTTCCTTTTTAGGTTCAAAAGGAAAGGTAAAAAATAGAAATTAGTTTGTTTTTCTTTCCAGCTAACCTGATTTACAGGTTCAACTTATTTTCTGCTCAATGGAGTGGGGAGAAAATGCATAAAATAAGTGTACTCGCACCATGGAAATTAATGGATCTCTGAGGGATGACCATGACATGCAGTTCTAATGCTCCAGCACCAGAGGAAAGGCTGATTTTCTTAAGTTCTCCCACATTGCTGAGGGTTCAGGTATTCATACTTTTGTTTTCTTCAGGATCTTAAATCTTTCTTAAAATGAACAAAAAAAGAATAACAAGTGAATTCTAAGGGATTTAAACTAGTTAACTAACTAGAAATTTTATGTCTTCAGTCCTTATCCACTTTCTTTTCCACTTTGGCATTCTCCCTTAGTTGTCTTTAATGGACTTGCAGAGTACTTGAGTATTTAGCCGCTATTCATACAGAAGCTGCTTAATGCCTTATGATATTTATATCTCTTGTCTAAAAATAATTTTAAAATCTGTCTTCTCTATTTTGACATGGAAAGGGAGTTATAACCAGGACTGCACATGTTATTAGATTTTAGAGAATCCTACTTTTATCAGTGTCATAGAGATAGTTGTCTTCTATTTCTTTCTGGTAAGAGAGAACCTTACACTTGCTTTTAGCTTCCATTAGCATGGCTTGGTTTATGGTATTCCCTTTCTGGGTGACAAGCACAAGTGCAGTGAATTACTGGCTTTTGTTCCTTACATTAATTTGTGATGTTACTGCGTGGTGTGAAGCTTAAGTGTGGTTACCATGCTGGAAAAAAATTATGAAAGAGACGATAGCTGAAATGCAGCAACAAATTGTGTTGTCAGTCTCACTGACTACTCACTGCCATACCTGAGGCATCAAGGTACAATATAATGATACACTCACCACTAGTTTCCCATTTTTACCCTGCAAAAGTTTTTCATTTAACTATGTTTGGACATATGCAGCTATAAAAGGTTTATTCCAGTAAAAGGCTTTTGTTCCTCCTGTACTCCTCCACAAACTTTTAAAGAAGTAATTTACTCCTGAGAGATGAACAGACAGCTAGATTTCTTTCTTCTTGCTGGACAAGAGGACTTGGACCTATTTCAAGCTGCCTAATAGGAACTAGGCACCTGAAGAGCTCACTAGGTGCCTAACTTTCCTATAAATTGAAACTAAGAATTTCTCTTCCGAGGCTGTAGATTCTTTCAGCACAGATATTTGGTCATTAGACACATCTATGTACAAAGAAGCTACTACCTATCTCATTTTCTTTTCATTTTATTCTTCTTCAGTTGCAAGTATTCTTCCTTTCACAGGAATAATAAATCCTATTATGAGTTGCAAGTCAGTGACAGCAATGGAAGTCATGGACATACTGCGCAGCATCTTCCCTGACTGAAAGTTTATGTTTGCTATGGTACTTGATTTCAATGAGAGTAAATTTATTTCCTCTAAGCACATCAGGGATGTGATGAGCACTGTCCAACTGTACTGTAGTTTTAAAATTCTTTCCAAGACTGTTGTCATCCACACTGCCATAACATGATTTTATTGCACGTGTTCAGGTATCATTCATAGTTAATGAGATTTAATATCTTTACAATTTACTAACTACCAAATCTATATGATCTTTGAAACAATTATAAATATAGACAACAGTAAACTTACCTAATTTGCACATTATACTGGTGTCCATCATCCACTCTAGCAGTGGTAGTGATGTTTTTGACTTCTGCTGCCGCATCACATAGAAACTGGTACTGCAGAGTGGGAAAAAGTTTTAATTACATTATTTCTAATAATTAAACAATTGCAGGCTTAGAAACTTGAGTTTTAAAATAGCAGATGATTTCATAAAAACCTGAAGGATGTCATGCGTATCAAGGAAAACTAATGTTTCATTAAAAGTTCTGGATCAAGAAGTCTTTTGTACCAGAAATATGCAAGCACACATACATGCTTCCTAGCCTGCATGAAAATGCTTTAATCTTTGTGTATTGTACAACCAGATATTGTGGTTCTGAATTGCAAAGAAATTGACCATCTGCAACCCATCCGAAATTAACATTGGCCACGGGTGAATTTTACTTACCGTTTTATGGCTTCCTTACGCTTCCAAACACGTAATGTAGCATGCAGGCTTGAGCATTTTGGAACGCCATTTAATTTCCTATACTAATGTGAACAAGCACTTGATTTCATGGTTTGTCTGCTTGTAATTGTAACTTGATTGTGAGCTTAGAACTATTTGTTCACTGGACTTTAAATATACATTTAATTGGCCAGCTTTGTGAATGATTAAGTGAATTCAATTAGTTTTAACATGACACACTGGGATCTCTGAATAGATTTGTGTCAATTAAAGTACTTTCATATTTTATGGTGCTTATGATATGTTAGAAAAATATTTTTCTTCATCATTACATTACCATGAATACAAGTAAGATGGACTTAAAGCTGTCAGCATTTTCTAAACCTTTGATAACTTCCTGCCCATGACTAATCTCATTTGTTTTGGATAAAGATAGTCACAATATAACAAAAGACAGTAAATCACAATATAAAGAAATAAAGAAAAATGTTATTTTCTTCTTTTTCTGTTTATCTTCACTTTATATATCTATTTAGTGTGGTCATGCTTTTTAAATATAAGGCAAATATAATTCAAATATGCTCTTTCTAACAGTCATTTCACGGTTCTTACAGAAGAAGGATATATTTACAGGTCAACTTTTGGACATTTTTAGCAGGAAAAAATGTGAGAAAAGTAATTTTTCTTTTAATATCTTTTTATAGCCTCTTTAGTATCTGCCTATCTCTTCATAAAGCTCAAGTTTTAGCTCTTCCTCAGAAAAGAAGGAATTCTTTGCCAAAGACAAAGATATATCATGGTCACATTTTATTCCTTAAAGTTTATAAACAAATGTATTCCTAGTTAGTCTGTTCCTGAAAGCCATGGACATATCATATGGAACTGTGGTTTAAGTAATAAATGAAGTTAAAGGTTTCTACTCAGAGACACAGAGTAAATTTTCCTATGACACTTCATTCAATTCTACAGCCTCCCTTATGATAATTTTAATGAAGCTGTACATGAGGTTCAGTAAGTTTAAGCTTCATATATTAAATACAATAACTTATCACTTTGAAAGACAAAACCTACATTCTTTATTGTTGTGTTTTAATATGTACTTTTTGTATGAGATTCCAAATATAATCAATATAAGATTTTCCTTAAGTCCCACCTCTTATGGGACATATCAACTGTATTAGCCATGAATTGGCCATAACAGACAGCGTTTGATAACTATTTTCCTTAAAATACTAAAGAATGTCAAGATTCTCTGTAGATTTATTTACTATCTTCTACAGTAAGAAAAAAATATTAAAATTTTTACAAATCCCTACTTTTATTTACTTCTCTTTCAGTGGGATACTTTGAGGTCTTACCTGTAAGGTACCATTATTGATGAAAAGTCGAATTAAAAAATGTATTGCTTCTGGGCTCTGTTCAATATTTAGGAGGAGTCCATGAGGATTACAGGTCTTAAACTGCAGATGGATGAAGTTTTGTATGTTCAAATGTAAGCCTTGAAATTCCAGGTAAGAATTGCCATAATAGCGAGCATTACTAAAATCTGTAAATAGAATTTTGAGAGATATAAGTTTTTAAACACATTTTTCTTCTTCACACACTGTTTTCTTATTCTGCTAATGGTAGCAAAGATAAAAGGTATTTTTTTACATCTGTCAAGGAGACAGACACGAATCTGAAAATTGATGTTAGTTTTCTTCTGTCAAAGATAACACAAAATGTTTATAAAACATAAAGGTTTGGTCAAATTATATTAAGCAGGCAGCTAGGATCAATGCATGAAAAAAGAATAAGCTATGAAGATAATAGCACTTGGTACATATCTGGTAGATTTGGCTCAACATAAGTCAAGAACAGGTTTTTTTCAAAGTTAGGTGTTTTAATTAAAGTTAAATCCAGGAATGAATGGATTAGAAGTCTTTACAGAAACCACATGCTGTGGAAAGGGAGCAAGATATTCTACAGCCTAACTATGAAAGTGACATCTCAAATACGTCAACTATTTTGTTCTAAGACAAACAATGTGGGGCTAGGGTGAAAGCTGGAAATATCCATTGTGACTACATCTAGCTTGTCTGTATGATTTATCTAGATATCTCTTACCCTTCAGCACCCTGTGCTATACCTTGCAAGGGCACATGCAGCTCTTATTTAAATGGAAAAGGTATGTGGAATCATGGCTTCAAGCCCATCAGAGATAACAGAGAGCTACACTTAAAAGGGCCTCCTTTATTTTTTATGTTCTCTCTCTTCCCCCCTCTTTCCTCTTCTCCTTTTCTTTCTTTTCCTTTCCCTTTCCCTTTCCTATCCTCTTCTTTTTCTTCTCTCCTTCCTTCTTTTCTTTCTTGCTTCCTCTCATTCCCTTCCTTCCCTCCCTCCCTCCCTTTCTTTTTTCTTTCTATTTCTTTTTTCTCTTTTTCTTTTAGTTTCTCTTTGTTTTGTTCTATTTTCTTCATTTTTCTTTGTTTCCCTGTCTCTTTCTCTCTCTCTCTCTTCTATTTTCTGTTCCCCTTCCTTCCTTTGATTTTTCTTCCCTTCCCTCTCTTTCTCTTTCTGTCCTTTCTTCTCTCTTTCACTGTGTTGTCTTTTTACAAAGGAAGAGTATTCAACATGAACAATGGGTACCCATTCATACGGAAATGCAGTCTTGCATTTAGTTTTTTTACTTCTCAAATACTCAAACTGAGCCTCACATCACCACCTTTATGTGCTTTTAAGGACTTAAATAGGTGGGTCCCCTCTCATCCGTGTGACAAAAGGAGTTAAGTATTTTTATTTTTTGCAGGAGCAGGTTTATGCTTTAGTCTCATTTGAATCACACAGCATACAATTATTTGTTTGATCAACTTTATGAAACAGATAAAAATTTAAAGAAGTACTAAAAATTCACCCATCATGTGAAAAACATCAGTACAACAATATGAACTTAGATACAATATAAAAAATATAATGACTGAATAATTCTATTTCAATTTGTTCAAATGTCATAGAATCATCTGTAGAGGGATTTTGAGTATCTTTGAAGGTCACAGATCTGTTTCTATTTTACAAAACAGACAAAATTTTAATCTGTTGTGACACCAACTCCAATAGCAAATACATCATTATATGTGCTAAAATTCTCAATGTCAATGATACTTGGATAAAAATAAAAACTATTGATGTTGAACTCCTATATATCACTGTAAGAATATGCTGAATTTTATCCTTTCATGACTTTTCAGAAACCTGTTTACAAAGTCAAAGTCACTGTGGTCAAACCCCAAACAAAGCCCTTAAGAAATTCTCAGTACTATAAAAAAATCTGTATTATACACACAGATAGAACATGCAGTAAAATAGACCACAAATTTCAAGCAATACCAATCAATGACCAGTGCTGCAAAAAAACCTCACCCTAAACACAAAAACAACAACAACAAAACCCTCATAATTTTAAATGTATTTAATCTTTAAAAAGTCTCTTTTGTCTTAAATTTTACAGACAGGACAATTTCTCCAAGGAAAGATTTTAGAGAATTATCTCCAATCCCTAACTGTTGTTTGGTTTCCTTCCTGAGCTAGCCACTGAGCTCTAAATCTTTCTCTCATTCCTTTTGCCCTGAACTGCTCCTGCACATGGTTTTGCTTCTTCCAAGGAACTTCTCAGTTATCCCCACACTCTTTAGATACTGATATCTAACCTCATATATATATATAGATCAGAGATATACTGATATCTCTTTTTCATGACTCCAGTTAGGAGATCAGCTTGGCTGAAAGACAGCAAAGTTGCACAGAATATCTCTTTCCTGCAGTCCTAACTCCTTCTGTCACCTTCTCAATTTTTTGTAAGTGGGTTGTTTTTATTGTTTTGTGGTTTTTTCTGCACTGTCCAGTATATAATAAAGTTGACATGTGAGAAAAGGTCAAAACTACATCAGCTCCTCAGTGCTTTGCTAACAAAAGGCATCTGAGCCACTAGATCTCACAAAAGAGTAAAATCTGTAATTGTGAGAAGAATAAAAAGGTGGGTAAGGGAAAAAAGCAGTTTATTCATGATTCCTGAAACTATAATCTAAATCTGAGGATAGACTGGATTATCTACTAAATTTCAAGGAAGACCAAACAAGCACAAGCTAGTAGCTAGTAAAATTGCTACAATTGCTCTATGTCCATAAATATGGAAAGAGTTAATGAGAGAAAGCACTGAAGAATATTTAGCAGGCTCCAGGTTTCTGTGAAATCCATAAAAACATACTACTCCCATCAGAAATAGGCTACATACCTTCCCACAATAGCTATTAACATGAACCACTGGTGTGGTTTTACCTATTAAGATTCTCACATTGTTTGTAACAGTACACAACCTCTTCTTAAAGAACATAAGCTTTGCTTATAATCCTTCTACTACGCTTCTATGCAACTTTTTCACTTGACCTCTAGAGTTGGCTTCCTAGATTACTTTTTGTCCTAAAGGAGACTGCTCATCACCCAAGCCGTTAGAACAAAAAGGGAAAAATTGAAGCTGTATTTTATCTTTCACTATGAGTGTCTAACATTTGCTTTCCTAAGAAACAGGCAAGCCCTTTGGCCTATAAAATCCTTTCAGCTGTACCTTGCTCCCCTGTGTACATAAAAGCTCTCCATGATTTTCTGTTTACAAGAATTCATGTTAATGTCAGAAGTTAAAAGGTTTGAGTTCCAGCTGTAATGGTAAGAGGATACACAGGCAGATCTGCAACCCAGTTCACTGTCAAGGTTCATAACTCCTGCCACTACCTACTGGGTTTCTCCATTCCAATGAGTTTCAGCTGCACCAGCTTCAGACTGGAGACCTGTAAATTTAAAACTTTTTGAAAGCCACACAATTTTAAGTCTTGGGTTTTAAAGGCAGGTAGGGGTAATAAAAACTTTTAATATGTCCATGAGCATGTGCTCCTGGTGATGGAGCTTTTGTCTCCATATATTTCTATGTCTAATGCACACCCTGCTATTTGCACGGACTCAGACACAAAGGGGATTATGATGATGCTTTTCTTCTTTATTCTACTATTCTCTTTTGTTATGCAACACCCTGGAACAAAACACTCTTGTTTAAGCTATCAGTCTTCCCTTTTTCATGGACACATCCATCACATCTTTTGCTATTCTTTTAATTAGAATTATCTTACAAAATTCAAAGAAAGAGCATCGCTACTTGTGGGAAGAACTCTGTCAGGAAAAATCTGAACAATTAATTTGCTATTTGAAATTCTTATTTATTTTTATGAAGAAGGGACACATCTCTTAACAGTATAAAACCATGGTAATAAAAAAGTTGTTAAAACTGGGGAATGCCAAGTGAAAAAAAAGTTTCAGAAAAGCAAAACAAAGAAGTCAGAGCAAGGACTATTTCACAGGTCTGGCTGCAGACCTCTCCAGCCCAACAGCTGACTTCCAATGGCTGTCTATGGCTCAGGCTTACACAAACAGCATGCAAGGAACAATGCTTCCCCTGGGACACCCTAAAAAGTGCCATAGCTTCCTCAGCGAGGGTGTGCTCATGTTTCATCAGACCTGCTACCAGCTTCCATGGGCCTGGCTGTCAGGCAAGGCCCCTCCAATGGCCACACCAATGGTCGTGCCATCGGCTGCCCTGCACACCATGGTCCCCTCTTACCCCTTGCTGAGAAGGCTGGAGGCTTGTGATCTCTGGCAACAGGAGGACAATTTGTGATTGACCAGCAGACCTGCAGCTGCCCAGGGCATTGCTGAAAGCAAACAGCATTGTTCAGGAGACCCCTCAGAGCCAGATCAGCCCAGAGCTGGTATCTGCAGAAGGGGGTAAAGATGAGTGAGACCATTACTGAAGACTCTCTTCTGTGAGGTGTGGAGGAACCAATAAGACAGTCCAACTTGATGTCCTCAGAGGCTTGTCTGGTCGGTTGGCTGTCTGGCAGGGTCAGGATCTGGGATTCTACACAGGGACCAGCAAGGTTTGCACAGCTCACACATGGTTAACCCTTGTTACTCTTCCATGTGGGCACCAACAATGATGCCAGGGTAACCAGTGCATCAGGAGTGACTGCAGAGCTCTAGATGTGAGGGAGAAAGGCATGGGGGCCCTCAGTCCTGCCATCAAGGAGGAAAGTCTTACAAGGAGGTAGGGCCTACGGTGAGGCTCTTTGTAGACAGGAATAACAGAAGGATAAATTGAAGACCTAAATTGAAACAGATATCTTGCCACAGTGGAAACATGTTTGCTGTCCTAACTACAAAGAATTAATGTCTCCTTGGTTTTTTTTTTAATGTCACAGAATATCAAAGCAGGGTTAATAGATAATATTAGTAATATGATTTTTTTTTTTTTGTTACCACTTCTAGAAACTTCTGTTTCTTGTGGCCTACGCATGTAACAGTGGTTTCTTGTTTTCTTTTTACTCTCAATATGCTGAAAGTACCTCAGCTTTCATTTTTCTTATGTTTCTGGGGGGTTTCTTTCGAGATGCCATATATAATGAGTCATGTCAATCACTCTCATTTGCATTCTAAAATAAGGTCGATCTTTCCAGCAAGTTGTGA